TTGAATCCCCACTCTACCATGGAAGTTTGCTGGATGAGCCTGGGCCAGTCACATATCCAAAGCCTACCCTACCAGGTTGTTGTGAGGATAAAATGGAGGAGAGGAGAAGGAAGTAAGCCACTTTGGGTTGCTGTTGGCAGAAAAGTGGAGTATAAATGAAGTAAAAATTAAATAAAATAATTTTAAACATCCTCTGTCACTAACATGACCAAATATAAAACTAACATTCAGCCAAATGCCCTTCTCAAAAGGTCACCTGTCACTTTTTCCTGAACTCCTGAAGAGAAGGAACGGCTCTCATATCATTTGGCAGCCCATTACAAAAGGATGGCGCTGCCACAGAAAACATTCTGGATTGGGCTGAGGCTGTGTTCACCCTAGAGGGAACCAAAAGTATACCCTGGTGGCTTAAAAGGTCAGTCAGCATCTTGAATTAGACCCAGAAAGAAACTGTTCTGCCCATTGTTGCAGGAGTAGCATATTTATGTTGAAGCCAATTACTGTCTGCTGCAAAATAATGTGAAAACTAGTGAACTAATTGGCTATTCCCCCCTTTCCCTGCAAGCATTTATTTATGTTTTTCCCTCTTACATGAGAATAAAAGGAAGGGATAACCCTAAATGGTCTGGGAAGGTATTATCATGAGGAGCAGTGAATGTGCCTCTCAGTTATGGCTTTGCTAATTAGTTTCCTGGTCTTGTAATATGGCAGGAAGAGGAGGAGCATCCATCTTTGGCAAGCAGTTTGAAGACGAACTCCATCCTGAACTGAAATTTACTGGTAGGTAATATTTTAGTACCTCCCAAAAAACTCAGTGCATCACTGACTGGAGACAAGAGTCTCCAGACTTCTAGATGCAAAGTAGGTTGGACATGAAAGCTATGAGAACAACCTGAATCTTAAAACGTCAGTTAAACTTAGCTTATAAATTTGCTGCTTTGCATTATGCTTTGTCTCAAAGCAGTCATGTCTAATTGGATTTCCTTTTTGAATACATCAATCCTTAGATTTTATTTTATTAATATAGTTACTGCTTGTTGTTCTTTTCATATAAAGGCAGAAAGGAGTTAAGTTGCCATTATCACTGTGTTCTGTTTCCATAATACTCCTGCAAGAATCGAATGTGTATGCTCAATCCTTATGAGCTCAGTCCCTGTACGATACTCTGTAGCAGCTCCAGAATGGAGACCTGAAGATTTTGTCCGCATGGGTTTTCCAAGAAGCATAAATCGTTGGGCATTGAAGCATGTGTGTATTGAGGGTTGTGTCCAAATTACGTGACAGTGTGGCATAGTGGTCATACTATTGGACCAGAGAGACCTGAGTTCAAATTCCTACTCTCTCATGAAGCTCATTGGATGTCCTTTGGTCAGTCATTCTCAGCTTAACCTAATAAGAACATCAGACATAAGAAGAGCTGTGCTGGATCAGACCAGTTACCCATCTTGTCCAGCATTCTGTTTCACATAGCAGCCAACCAGTTGCCCTGAATGGCTAACAAACAGGTATGGAGTCCAAGGCCTTCCCCTGATGCTGCCTTCTAGCAGTGGTATTGAGGTTTGCTGCTTCTGTATATGCTGGTTCCCTTTAGTCACCATGGCTAAATAATGATTGATGGACCTATCCTCCATGAATCTGTGTAACCCCTCTCTTAAAGCTAACAATGCTCATAGCTCTACATCCACTGGCAGTAAATTCTACACTATAATTACTTATTGAGTAAAGAAGTATTTCCTTTTGCTTGTCCTGAACCCATTGCCCATTGACTTCATTGTGTTCACCCAAGTTCTAGTATTAAAGGGGAGGGAGAAAAAGCTTCCTCTATCCGTTTTCTCCACTATGTATATAACTCTGTTATGCTCTGTCAAGTCTGCCCCCTTAGCTGTCTTTTTCCCCCCTAAACTGAAAAGTCCCATACACTTCAGCCTTTCTGCATAGGAAAGGTACTCCAGTCCTTTAATCATTTTGGTTGCCCTCTTCTGTACTTTTTCCAGCTCCGCAATTTCCTTTTTAACAAGACCTGTACACATTATTCTAAATGAAGGTACTTCATAGCCCTACAGGAGGACATTACAGTATTGTCCACTTTATTCTCAGTCCCTTTCTTAATAATTCCCAGTACGAAGTTTGCATGAACCTCCATTGCTCACAGGGTTGTGAGGATAAAATGGTCAAGAGGAGATCCATTTATGCTTCTCTGAACTCTTCAGGGGAAGGGAAATAATAGATGTGGAAGCTAACTGGGATTCATGAGCAGGCCTTATGTAGGGTTTCATTGATCTCACTAAATCCTGATCATTTTTAAGGGCTGGTAGAGAAAAAAATCAGTAAGATCTGACTATTTGATTTCTTTGTATTTTCGTCATAATTAATTTGGGAGTTGAAGATGGTAACACACTCTTTTTCTTCTTAAGGTGCAGGAATCCTTGCTATGGCTAATGCAGGCCCAGATACAAATGGCAGCCAGTTCTTTATCACATTAGGACCGACTCAGTGGCTCGATGGGAAGCACACTATCTTTGGTCGTGTTAGCCAAGGAATTGGAGTAGTTAACAGAATGGGCATGGTGGAAACCAATGCACAAGATCGACCAGTAGATGACATAAAGATCCTGAAGATGTATCCATCGGGTTAGACCAGTATTAAGATAATCACATTGAATTTGATTACATTCCATTGTGCTTGGTTTCTTAGAAGATTGTCATGTTGTTCCAAGAGACTCTGGGCAAAAGAGACACTCAAATGCAAAAGAATCCTACCCTAAAATGCATGTTCAGAATTTATCATTAAAATTTTTTTTAAAAAAATTGCAGCTGAATTTTTAAAGAAAATTACAAATTTGGGGTTGCTTGAAGAAGAAAGTATCACTAAATAGTGGTTGGATTGTTTTTGTAAGCTTAATTCAATCTATCACCTTTGGTCTGGTTGAAGTACAGTATGATGTCTGTATTGAATACAGAAAGAGCCCTCAGTGCACCTGAAGGAAGCAGACAAAAAGTCTAGATTCGTAAGTCATTGGAACTACACATTAACTCAACATTGTGCCAGCATGGGTCTCAAGACTAAAATGCTCTCCTACAGTTCCGAAAGAGAGGAAATTGCCTTGTTGGAATTCGTTTGTGAACATTTGTATATTTTTTCCCAAGCCCTTTATTGCCATACGTATATACATACAATAGGAGATCAGATTAAATATAGATCTGAAAATACAAATCCATATGAAAAACCAATGGTTACTTATCAGAACGTATAGCCCTAGCACTAAGAAGAAACCTTGCTACTATTTTGGTTATTTCCGTATCTTGATTATCAAGCAAAAACAGAACCTTAAAATTGTCAGGAATTTCTGAGAATTGAGCTAATATAGCATACAGAAGATCCTGGCAGGGCACCAGATAAAAGGGACATTGAAGGAGAACATGGGGGACAGTTTCAACACAGTCCTTCTTACAAGGACAACACCTGCTGGAGTAGGGGATCCCCTGGAATCTGCCAGAGAGAAGAGCAGAAGGAAGAACATTAAATCTGGCCAAGGAGATGGCTCTGTGCAAATTTGGAGCTATAAGTTGATAAAGAGCCCTCAGTGCACCTGAAGGAAGCAGACAAAAAGTCTAGATTCGTAAGTCATTAGAACTACACATTAACTCAACATTGTGCCAGCATGGGTCTCAAGACTAAAATGCTCTCCTACAGTTCCAAAAGAGAGGAAATTGCCTTGTTGGAATTAGTTTGTGAACATTTGAATAGCCTGTTTGTATAGGTAATTTTAGGCCGTGACCATTAGAGCTTTCTTCATGTCCGAGAAACCAGACAGTGCTGTTTGGTTCAGAGAAGAACTGCTAGTGCAGAGTTCCCAAGAGAAAAATAGAATCCTTTGTGACTGAGGAAGAGCTGTAGGGCAGGTGCCCACCCTTTCCAGATTAGAACATTTGTACCTGTAGAGGGTGTCTGATGGGGAGGGGAGGGGAGGGGAGGGGAAGGGAAAGGAGTTTGTAAGCCGCTCTGAGACTCCCTTGGGTAGTGAAGGGCGGGGTATAAATCCAATCTCTTCTTCTTCTTTCTTCCTCCGTAAAGAGAAGTGAAGGGCGGGGTATAAATCCAATCTCTTCTTCTTCTTTCTTCCTCCGTAAAGAGAAGTGAAGGGCGGGGTATAAATCCAATCTCTTCTTCTTCTTTCTTCCTCCGTAAAGAGAAGTGAAGGGCGGGGTATAAATCCAATCTCTTCTTCTTCTTTCTTCTTCCTTCATATAAAGAAGTGAGGTTTCCTGGTCTCAGAGAAAAACAGGAGGCAACAATTTAGGTTTTAAGACAAGGGGGAAGGAACAGGGGAAGGAAGGAGGCAAAGATAGTGGGGGGGGGGGCAGGGGGGGCAAAATGTCCCTACCAAGATTAGGGGGAGGCTATCCACTTCGACATTGGGGGGGGGGCGATATTCGGGCAACTAGAGAGCCAGTTTGATGTAGTGGTTAGGAACTGGACTCTAATCTGGGAGAACCAGGTTTGATTCCCCACTCCTCTACATGCAGCCAGCTGGGTGACCTTGGATCAGTCGCCCAAGGGGGGGGGGGGAGGCGTCCACTCTCCCCCATCCCCCCTTTCATTCCAAAAAGATCCACTCACCAGCCCACCGGAGGACAGGTCTCACTCCCAGCCAGTGTTCCCTCTAAGCTGAGTTAGTGTGAGCTAGCTCACAGTTTTTTAGCCTCCGGCTCACACATTTTTGTCCCAGCTCAGGAAGGAGGGCTCCAGAGCAAACTAATTTATGCAGCAGCCAAATCGCTCGCTCACAACTGTAATGCCAGTTTGCTCAGAAAGTAGGATTTTTGCTCACGAGATTCCACAGCTTAGAGGGAACATTGCCCAGCCCACCGCTCCTGTGCCTAAGGGACACTACCATAGAGGCTACCGGGCCACCTAGAGAGGCCGACTTCAGAGGGCGTGGCGGGAGACAGCCCACGTGGTGAGGGGGCGGTCTTCTGAGCCGCCATTGCTTTGTGGGGGTGGGGGAGGTGGTCACCCGCGAGGGGGCGGCAGTCGTCGCCTCAAGGGTTCTCGCGTGAAGGACGCGCTTCAGGAGAGGCGGTAGGAGCTCTTCTCCGCGCGGGAGCGTCTCCCGGCAGCCCCGCGCTCAGAGCGCAAAGAGCCGCGGGCGGCAGCCCCGCTCCCTCGCAGGGTTTTCGCCCGTTGGGGAGGAGAAGGGGCGGAGCGCGAGTGGGCGTGGAAGACGCGGGGGGGGG